TTCAGAGGTTCAGTCCATGGTTGGCCAACTCCACTGCTCTGGGCTCAGAATGAAGGACAACATAATGGCAGAAGAGCAATAGTAGAGGAAAGCTGCTTACCTTATAGTGGTCAGAAAGCAAAAAGAGAGGAGACGATACCAGAAATAAAATTTAAATCCCAAAAGCTGGCCACTAGTTAACCCACCTCTTCCAGCCACACCCCACCTGCCCACAGTTACTACCCAGTTATTAGTTCATTCAAATTATTAATCCCTCAAATTAATCAATGATTAGGTTACAGTTCTCATAGTCTTTTCAGCTTTGACCATCCCTGCATTAACACGGCAGTTTTGGGGACACCTCATATCCAAATCGCTACACTTTCCAAAGGTCACAGAGCTAATAAACAGCAAAGCCAGATTTTAAACTCAGATCCATCTGACTCCAAAGCCTCTATGTATGGGTGGGTGTTTGCTAAAGCCACAGTAGACAAAAGCTAATTAATGGAAAATTGACTAACAGTTTTCACTTGAAATATGAGGAAAAAAAATAAGGGAGTACTAGAGGAATAAGCAGAACACGTCAAGAGGGCATGCCCAAACTGCAGACACCCGTTTCCCAGAGGTACAAGAAGGCTGACTGTGTTCAACTATCAAGCGTACTTTTACTCAGTAAGATCAGGAACAATAATTGTTAGAGGAAAGTCATCTTAAAGGAGGAAACAAACCATATATACTTTAAACACTCTAATTTGAAAATATATACATAAACCACATCCATAATGCTCATCTGCAGCCTGCAGCTTTACCTCTTTAAGTTACAGCATTGATTTAAAGATATGTATGAGACAAGGTGAATACACACTCCTTCTATATTTTTACAATATTTTTTCATATCTTTTAGTTGTCTCACCCACATCTAATTCAACATCCATTTCTGTTCAGTGATTATGTTTAAGCCAAGTACTGTGGTCAGCACCTATACCATCAGCTACTCAGGAGGCTGAGGCAAAAGGATTGCTTAAACTGAAGAGTTCAAGGCCAGGCTGGGTAACACAGCAAGACCCCATCTCAAAACACAAATACATAATAATGATGATGATGATAACAATAGTAACCACATTTCACTTTGCCCTAATAGAAATAATAATTCTCTTTTCATACTCATAATTCAATGGTTTATTCAATTTGTAATAAAATTGCTTGAATAAAATAATATGAACAAATGTAATAAAAATTTCAGAAATAAGCATAACACTAATTCTTGGTAAGCACACAAGTCAGTTGGTAGGGACAAAAGTATGTTGGCATTCTAGGAAGCAGCCTACCAACTGCAAATACTGAGCATGCCATGGGCACAGTCAGATGGACAGGAGAGAGGAAATGACAACAGTGGTTAATCTACTTTGTGGGTTAAAGTGAAGATGGTTAAGAGAACATCTGCTTAGATTCAATTAGAATCTTCATTCTGTACATTCTTATTAATGTGGACATTTCTTGCACACACAGAAGGAAAATAAAGGATGGGAACTGCTCACTCAGGGATAGGGGATCCTTAATGCTACCCCAGCTTCTCTAGTTTGACAGACTACACTGTCAGTCAGTTTCTCTGGCTGCCCCAAAGCCTCCTGCAGTGCCACCAAGCCTTTCCAGGTTATCAGACTACACCACTGGAGCACCATCGTCACAACTTAATAAATCATATGGTTACTCTAAGGTGTGTGGAAGCTTAGCCATTTGTGAGCAAACCAAATTGGACCAGTATACATCTGTTAGTGGAAGCTTAAGTAATTTGCCCACATAATACCACATATCAACAAGACAGCTATTGTTAACTAAATCCAAATGTTCTAATTCCAAGTCTAAAAGCCCAGAATAATTCTCTACATCTTCTAAATCACCAAAACTACTGAAAGAAAGAAAGAAAGAAAGAAAGAAAGAAAGAAAGAAAGAAAGAAAGAAAGAAAGAAAGAAAGAGAGAGAGAGAGAAAGAAAAGTATAGTTACTTCAGATATTGGTTCAGATTTTAAATGCACCATGCTGATAGCACAACAGATCACTGGCCTAATGAAAAAAATACAGGTAAGAACTGTATTCAGTTGAACTGAGAGAGACTTTCATCTGTATATTATCAACACAGGCAAAACTAGGCCATTAACTGACATTTGGGCTTAATGTGACAGTGAACAACAAGGAAATTTTATAACCATTTATGCAAATTACAAAGCACACAAAGTTCCTACAAAAGTTTCAGTGATGCATAGTATTTCTAGACATGTTCCCACTAGGCTAAAAGAAGATGAAGCCATGCCTTGAGTTTACCATATAAACTGTGGAAGCTGTAGGAAATTTCCTTGAAACATATATTCAAGGAAATCTGTTAAAAATATATATTAATCTGTTACATAAATTTCTATAGTTCTTAGATTGTGGTACTGATCATATCTTAGAAAATGATGTCTGAAAACTAGGCTACACTTTTAACTCTTTTTTTCTGACCCAATCATTTTCTATTTGGTATGTTAAACCCAGTTTATCTATAGATCTAGCAGGCAAACAACCTTTAACTTTTTATTTCTATATAGAATATTTCAATTATGTTCATTTTGTTATATGCATTAGAAATAATCAAAATGAGCTACATGTTATATGAAATTTTATTAAAAGCAAAAGCAGAAGAAGCTGGAGCTGGAGCTCAGTGATACAGCACTTGCTTTTAGCATGTGTAAGAATCTGGGTTCAATCCTCAGCACCATAAAAAATAAAATAAAATCAAAACTGGACACAACGATTAAAACAAACTCCTCAACCCTTAATTAACTGTACTTATTAATGCCAACAGTTACTATAGCACAGAACTACATCAAATACATCCATTATATTCTCCACAATCATTCATCACTAGACTGCCCTCACACAATTGTCAAAATCTACCTGGACTGTTATTTCTTTGGCTCTTTTGTATTGCTTTCCACATCAAAGGGATTCATTTGACTTCTGAGTCTTCTATTAACATTTATATTTTCATCATTAATATATTGTGTTTGAAGTTGGTTTCCACTCCTTTGTTCTCTATTTTCTTTATTCATAGTATCTCTCCCCTTCCCCACCACTGATAACAACTAAAACCTCTAGAGGAAATATAAAAAGTGACTACCTAAGAATTCTGAAAAACAAATAATAGATCAGCACAGGCAGTCAATGTAAAGAGTAACTAGTATAGTKGCAATAAATGGAAATGGCACTATCCAATAATAAAACCTGTGCTGGAGTTGAGGAGCCACTATTACCTAGTTGTGTGACCCTGGGAAAGTCATTTAAACATTCTGACCTTCAGTTCCCCCCACCATAAAATGAGTATAAGGCTTCCTCTATAAAATGAACATAATGACACGTCCCTGTATCAAAGGGCTATTAGTGAGGTTCAAGTTATGACACACTGGTAATAGTACTTTGATTGATTGATTGATTGATTGATTGATTGATTGATTTTGGTACTATGGACTGACCACTGGGATGCTTTACCACTGAGCTAAATCCCCATCCCTTTTTATTATTTTTTTTGAGACAAGGTCTTGCTAAATTGCTCAGGCTGGTCTTAAACTCACAATCCTCAGCCTCCTTAGTAGCTAGAATTACAAATGTATCCCAGAACACCCTGTAGCATTTTATTAATTACAAAATACCATATAAATCCTAGGCATGATCAAGTCTAATGATCTCCAAATGCGTTGACTACACACCCAATCAGTAAAAGGTGTTTGAGAGCAAATCAAG